ATCCAACCACGATCATCCATCTATCCACGCATACAACCACGATCATCCATCTATCCACGCATACAACCACGATCATCCATCTATCCACGCATACAACCACGATCATCCATCCATCTATCCACGCATCCAACCACGATCATCCATCCATCTATCCACGCATCCAACCACGATCATCCATCCATCTATCCACGCATCCAACCACGATCATCAATCCATCTATCCACGCATCCAACCACGATCATCCATCCATCTAGCCACGCACCCAACCACGATCATCCATCTATCCACGCATCCAACCACGATAATCCATCTATCCACGCATCCAACCACGATCATCCATCCATCTATCCACGCATCCAACCACGATCATCCATCCATCCACGCATCCAACCACGATCATCCATCCATCTAGCCACGCACCCAACCACGATCATCCATCCATCTATCCACGCGCCCAACCACGATCATCCATCCATCTAGCCACGCATCCAACCACGATCATCCATCTATCCACGCATCCAACCACGATAATCCATCTATCCACGCATCCAACCACGATCATCCATCCATCTATCCATGCATCCAACCACAATCATCCATCCATCTATCCATGCATCCAACCACGACATCCATCTATCCACGCATCCAACCACGATCTTCCATCCATCTATCCACGCATCCAACCACGATCATCCATCTATCCATGCATCCAACCACGATCATCCATGCATCCAACCATGATCATCCATCCATCATCCATGCATCCAACCACGATCATCCATCCATGTATGTGAAAATAAGGTGCTGCTTTAACTGGTCATTTATTTCTAGGAGCAGAGACATGTGGAGGAGTCCTCAGGGCGGGAGGTGAAGAAGGTGAAGTAATTTGTGTTTGGTTAAAACTTGTTAAGTCGCATGTTTTGATAAGTTTGTGAACTTTCATTAAATCTCATTACTTGTCATTACTGTTTCTCTTGGGAAGGTCCGGAAAGCGCGAAACCGGCGGCAGGAGTGGAACCTGATGGCTTATGACAAGGAGCTCCGCCCAGATGCTCGAGTCACGCCATCACCTCACCATACATCTGACGGCTCAGTGTCACCCGACAGGTAAACACCTGCATGTTCACACCTACTTCCCAGTCCAATAAGCTGACATCAGAACTTTAACTCCTCCCCCAAAGGTCAGGGATGTCAGATGACCTCTCCTTCCCGGCCAGTCCTCACCACGATGGGCATGATAGAAAAGATCATGCTGACATGGCGACCAGTGGGTCTGGGCAAACTCAGTCATTGGACCGTGCCCTCAGACCCACCTCCGCAGTATCCGCGGCAACCGCTCGCCAGCACTCTCTGGGCCGCAACCAGCCGCATCAGCATCAGCATCGCCCACAGCTGCTCACTGGTCCAGCCAATCAGAACGGAGCACGTTCCAACATGGCAAAGGAAGCCAAGTAAACACACACTTCAAATTATAATCACTATCATTATGCACATATACATGTTTGACCTTTAACCTCCATCCCTCCTCAGTGATCATCAAATCCCTCCGGCCCCTCCGCCGCCTCCACCTCTCATGCCATCAGCAGGACAGGTGGTGTTTCCAAACAGCTCCATCCACATTGCTGCTATGGCAACACCATTGCACCCTGCAGCTGTGCCTGGTAACCAAGGTAACAAGCACCCAGCTATTTTTTGGTTTCTGATGGCGCTTTTGCATGTCCACGTGAAATCAGGAGCTCCTGCTCTTTTCTATCCACAGGTGGCACTGCTGCCCAGCCCCACCCCTATAGCCCCTCCCCTCCACCACTACCCCCAGCTAACTACATCCCCTCCCGTCCTAGCAGCCAAGCTCCCTCCTCTGCTGCTGCGCCCCCGGTGCCCCGGCGGCGGATGGCAGGAAGCTAGCCGCAGGACTGAACGTGCCAATGAATGACGCCCGCAGTGACCTCCTCGCCGCTATCCGCAGAGGTCAGTCAGGACGCAGACAGTTCACAGATTATAGAGGTGGTCACTGGGTGATGCTCGTCTGGTGTGGGCGGGTGTGGCCAGGGTGACCTGGTGGGTGTGGTCCGACAGATGTGTGTGTGATCTGGTGTGGATTGGTGTGGTCCTGCGTGTTGATGCAATGTCTCGTGTCTGCAGGGATCCAGCTGAGGAAGGTTCAGGAGCAGCGCGAGCAGGAAGAGGCCAAGAAACGAGAGCCGACAGGAAACGACGTTGCCACCATCTTGTCACGACGTATTGCCGTGGAATACAGCGAATCAGAAGAGGAGTCTGAGCCTGAGGACCAGGAGTGGTCCGACTAAGGAGGAGGAAGAGTGCGCCAGACAGGAAGTGACTCGTCAGAGAGCCAAAACTTCTTTCTTGTTTTCCTGTTTGATGTTAATGAGTCAGCGTGGCATCCAATGGTGTTTTATGAACCTGCTGATGGTGACACGCAGAAACTTTATTGACAGCAGCAGGTTTAACAGACGTTACTCAGAAAATGAACCCTTGGCACAGCGCCCCCCTCAGGACGCCGACCGTCTGTGTTCGTGATGAAACAAAAGTTGACCTGGATTTATGTATCACTTTGCTGCTTGGACATCAAATGTCATCATTTTCAATTTATCAGAACTTTTAAAAATACATTTTCAGTTTTTAATATTTTTGTTTATTTGTTTTTACATTTTATTTTGTTTATATTTTATTCTTCATATTCTTTATATTTGTTGCTTTAGTTTTTATATTTCTTTTATTTCTTCTGTTATGATGCATCTTGTTCTACAGTGTGAGATGCAATGTGATGACATCATAGTAACTACTGACATCATGCATAATCATCCCTGCTGCTGTGGAGAGGGGGCGTGTCCTCCCTGTCCTGTACCATGTGTGATTGGCTGTTCGTGCAGTGCTGTTTCTGTGACCTGCATGTGGGTGAAAAAAACTGAAAATAGAACAAAAGTTATAGATAAAATCAAGAGTTGATTTTTGTGATTTATTTCAATCATTAAATATTTAAAGTCTCTTTTTAAAACTTGTTTTATTAGTTTTAATCTTTTAACTTTATGCATCAAGGAAAAATTACATTATATTCAACGGTCTTTGACTTGAAGAAGTGTTTAACATTTAAACCTATTTCCTGCATATAAAATAACAATATTTGTGTTTACGTTCACTCCTTCAAATAGATGCAAGTAAAATACAGCAGGAACGTGTTACCTCACCATACATCTGTCTCCTTTCCTCACCTCCTGCTGAGGACTAGGGAAAAGAGAAGTGGAACGACCTCACACTCTCTCTCCTTGACGGTGTGAGGATGTCCGCCGTGTTGAAACTACAAATGTGCATCGTCCTCTGTCTCAGCGTGTTCTATTGTTTGGTGGAGGTCATATGAACGAGAACAGCCTGTGTAAATATCCTTCACCACAGAGGCGGGAATTTTAAAGCCGGAGGAACATTTGGGTCCGATTTACTGCCTCACAGAGAAAAACAGAGTCTGTGCTGACAGCTGTGAACAGCAGCACTTTGGGCCTTATGCACGTGTTTATTTCACTCCCAGGAGAGAATTTTAAACGTCACTTCAAACTCTGTCACACACAGGTTACTGCAAACTGCACGAAATCTGCCAGTGCGTCACATTGTCTCAATATTGCCCTGTGCTATTCAAACTAAGGGCTGCACACATTCATGCATGTGCCACAGTAACCATAGTAACAGAGTTCAGTTTGTAATGATTATTATTATTGTACTTTATTGAGCCCCGTGGGGAAATTGCTCTCTGCATTTAACCCATTCACTCAGTGAAGCAGTGGGCAGCCATTGGGCGCCCGGGGAGCAGTGTGTAGGGACGGTACCTTGCTCAGGGGTACCTCAGGGTAGCTGTTAAGGGGAATCGAACCCCCGACCTTCCGATCATGGGGCAACCACTCTACCTACTGAGCTATCCCTGCCCCATGATGCAGCTCTCCTCGGGATAAATCGGAGCTCCACCCAAGTCCTAATCCTGAGACCTTTGCACGGTGCTCAGAAGTATTTCTTCTATCAGACTGATTCTCCTGAACATGAGCTCACACTGCATTATTTTGGTTAGTAGGCTCTTCTGTGTTTTTGAGTCACATATTCTCTCTGCTGATTCTTACTGAAGCCAACTGGCTGCATTTCTGTATATAAATTACAATACAACTATAAAATGAAATCCATATCATGTTCTTATATCTTCCTGCTGTGGAGGTCGTTCCCTGTAAAATTCCTCCATCATCACTGATCCCAGCTGACCTGAAGTAAACAGACTGTAACACAACAAAAGTCATTACTAATGAACGCTCTTCATGCAGGAACCACTCAACAGGAAGTAGTTTGTATTCCAGCAGTGTGACGTTCAGGGTTCAGCTGCTGATAAAAACTAGAAATACATCAGCACCTTATGGCTGAAATGGAAAATGGAACGTTATGATGAACGTTTACATGATCTGCTCTGCTTTGGTTATGTTTTTCATGAATGGTCGGATGGGATGGCGTTTTCTCCTCTCCTTTCATCAAGGATGCTTTGGTGTATCCTACTCTAAAGGGAGCACTAAAGCTCCTTTCCATGGAGTTTGGAGAGGTGGAACAGCTCCGATCATGGTCACGTATCTCAGTGAGGAACACGCCCACAGTTTCTGCTGAAGTCATCGTTACAGCGAGCGACGCTGGTTTCAGCCTGATGATGACATCAGGTGTGTTGTTGTTTAAAACGGGTGCAGTGTACACCTTTTCACACTTTTAATTCTGTTCACCTGGACGCCGAGTTTTCAGTGGTGGATCTGCTCCGTCATTTCAGCCTTACCTGGATCATCGGGCATGCATCGAGACAGAGGAATGTTTTTGTACTGTTAAATAAAGTTTTGATACAAAGCTTTGATAATGAGGAAGAGTCAAATTTACATTCATCCATTTATATACTCGTCTCAGTTCTTCCTGTGGGGCAGGAGAGTCCAGTACTGCAGTTATTTCCCACAGAGAAGAAGAGCAGCCGCCAGAGCGGAAGTGAGAAAAATCAGCGGGAGCGGAGCGGCATTTCTGTTTGAGTACCGCCGGGTTAAAGGTCACGCCGTCACCGACAAACACACACACAGCCGGGAAGAAGCTCCGAGAGCCAACTCTCTGCTAACCAGCGGCTTCCTGCTCGAGTGAGTCTCTGCTCCTGTACGGAGAGACCTTTGTGGTGAAGGCGGAACAAGCGGCTCAGCTCCGGTTACAGTCCGGTACCGCCTCACGTTGCACTGCAGCCCCTTTTCCATTTGTAGCTGCTCGGCTTTCAGGGTTTTACATTCGGTCACAGTTCCTGGTAGTGATGGGCAGATGAAGCTTCATGAAGCACTGAAACTTTTCATCCAGTTGGTTCATCCCAGTGCAAGGCGTCTTGAAGCTTCATTTGCTCTAGTAGGCCACCTACTGGACGTAAAATATCAGTTGGCAAGAATTTGAAGAGTGTGGCCTTTTGCACACAGCCTGTAAATGTCAACAACAAAAGGAGTGTGTAAAACATGTATATTGTAGTGATGCAGTATACTGTGTATATTTATACTGGCAGTATGGAAACGATCATTTACTGTGAGGTGTGGTTGGGGTGTGGACAGTAGTTGTGCTTTTGTAACGTTGAGGTATGGACAGCTACACACTGAGGCCTCAGTCCTGCCTGTTCACATTTTCTTCTGTAAAAACTAAATTTTCACTGCTCTTGTGACCTTTCTAGTGGGGAGAGCATAGCTAGGATTTAATGATTTAACAAATCTTTTAAATCCTTTCTCCTCCACAATGCTAAATGGCTGAGAGTCCTCAATCAATAAAAACAAAGCACAAATATAAATATCACACACGTAACTTATTACAGTTGTATAATATTGTTATATCATTTAGTAACATTACAGCATGCTATATTATCATTGCATTTGATGGCTCACCTGGTCTTGCTCCACAATCGGTGTTCCTCTTACTCTCATGCAAAGCTCTGTAGTGCCTAAGCATGGATGAGGTGTTGTTGTTATAGCCCAGCTCCCTGGCACATAGCAAACACTTCACCTTGTACAAAAGTCAAGACAGCTTAACATAAATTGTATTGCACCATCAGTATTATGAAAATACATCTTCTGTACAAATTTGTAGGCAGCACGGTGGTTAGCACTGTTGCCGCACAGCAAGAAGGTCCTGAGTTCAATTCCACCATCAGGCCGGGGTCTTTCTGTGTGGAGTTTGCATGTTCTCCCCGTGTTTGCGTGGGTTCTCTCCGGGTACTCCGGCTTCCTCCCACCGTCCAAAGACATGCAGCTTGTGGGGATAGGTTAATTGGAAACTCCAAATTGCCACTAGGTGTGAATGTGTGAGTGAATGTGAGTGTGAATGGTTGTCTGTCCCTGTGTGTTAGCCCTGCGACAGACTGGCGACCTGTCCAGGGTGTACCCTGCCTTTCCCCCCATGACAGCTGGGATAGGCTCTAGCGCCCCCCGCGACCCTGAAAAGGATAAGCGGAAGCGAATGGATGGATGGATCTTCTGTAGAAATTTACATACCTTGTTGGGAGGGACATCCTCCTCTTCTTAGCTGGCTCCATTCTCTCCTGACTTTCATAAACCTCCAAACTCTCACTAACCGCAACTCTCCATCAAACACCCACATTTTGAATGGGGTCTGAGGGGTTTATATCGCTGTCATAGCTCGCGGCAAAGTTCGAACCACTTCCTGAACCAGTCACGTGGTACAGCTGGGCAGCGAGGCTTCGGACGTCATCATTTTCAGCATCCTCCCATCAATGAAGCAAGCCTCGATACGCGTATCGGGGAAACGCCCCCTCCATTACGCGACACAAGATTTGAAGCCTCGATACAGAACGTCACATCACTAGTTCCTGGTACTGTTTTAGTACCTGCTCGGACGGGTTCCAAGCGATCCGAGCAGGTATTAAACTATTACATCATCGGACAGCATGCCACTGATTGGCTGGTCAGTGGTGTCACTCGATGGGTCATGAGAACATCTACTTCACAAAAAACGAGAGAAATGTGTTCTGGGAATCCATCCAACCTCACAAACCATCCTACCTGTTGTTTCTGCGCATGTGCACAACACAAAATTAAGTGGCAACCCGTCCTATCTACTTAAATTTATGCTGGAATTATTGTGTGACCGCAGGAATGTACGCTAGGACGGTTTGCTCCAAGAAACAACGCCGTGCTCCCGGAATCTGACAAACAGCCCCCGCATTCGTGTCACATTTTAATTAAGCTTACACGTTGCTATAACAACGAGCACCCATATTAGATGGTACTGATTATAGTGGAAACCCAGTGGAGTCGAGTTGTGGCGAGTCGAGCAGGCACTAATGCAAAAGGGGCTAAAAAAAAACTGAAAATGTTTCATACGTCTGAAAAGTGCGTCCTGTTTGGGTGCGCTTGTTTTGCAGACATGGCGGTGCAGGTGCCGTGCCTGTCGTTCCGGCAGCCGTATGCCGGCCTGGTTCTGGACGGGGTAAAGACGGTGGAAAGCCGCTGGAGGCCGCTGCTCGCTCCACTGGAGAACCAGACGCTGGCGGTCCACGTGGCTCAGCGTAACTGGGAGGGGTCGGACTGGAGGGCGGTGCTAAGCGGCCTGCTGGGGATGGACAGCGCTCAGATTGAGGCACTTCTGGAGTCCGGGGAGCGGTTTGGCCGCGGCGTGGTGGCAGGTTAGAATCCCTATTTACTCTGCCACATTTACACATCCCTGAACGAACCCTGTGGTCTCTTTTAGGATTGGTGGATGTGGGCCGGACCTGGCTTTGCCCCGCCTCCCTCCAGGGGAAGGACCTACAGTGCCTGGAGCAGTCGGCCGTGCTGATTGGTCTGCAGGAGAAGCACCTGACTAACCTGTCCAACCCTCGCTGGCTGAAGGCCCCACTGAGAGCTCCGGGAGGTCGCGACCTCTGGACCATAGAGATCCCAGCAAAACTGTTACCGTGACAACACATACGTAACCTACCCGAGCACCGAGGCCGGAGCGACTTCTCTGTCATAGTACATTGGTTTTTACAGCGGTGGCGCTGACCTCAGATCAGGTCACTGTGATGTCATCAGCACACCTGATTTTTGTGGTCGAGCGAGGTCTTCCATCTCTGAGGGTGGGGTGGGGGTCAGACCAATGATCTGAGCTCCTGGGGCCGTCGTCCCGGAGCACCAGAGGCTTCACAGCAGCTCGATAAAAGTCCAACCTGTCCAGTTCTTTGTTTCTTTGAAATGATGGAACCCGTCTAATCCCAGATTTTTCACTGCAAAATAAGTGAATGCATTTCACTCCTTAGACTTGTCCTACTCACTGTATGTTTAATTTTGTTGATGTGTGGGGGTTAAAACGGCAACTGTTGCCGGTGGGTTAATAAGGACACGTTCCAAACGTCCAGTGTTTGTGTAAGTAACCTACCTGTGGTGCTGTTATCAGGCGGCTGTATGTTACACTGAAATTAAAAGGTAATATTTTGCTATGCTTGCTGTTCTGCTCATTGTTCTCTCGCTGTTTTAGAAAACAGTCTGTGCAGAATTGTTGTAATTCAGTCACACTGGAGGGTTTTAGAGCATGAAGCCATCAGGACTTTGACTAAACCAGGATGGTAAACTGCAGAATTCATGGTTCCATCAACAAAACAAATGGATAAACACACAAACAGACCTCTAATCCAGGTAACTGCATGTTACCATGGTACCTTATCAGCAGGTATGAAACCAGCACCCGTTAACCAATCAGATCTATAAAAACCACAGTGATCAATACACATACAGTATAATTTAAACATGTATCAGGCTGAGTCAACACACCATCTGCAGATTTTCATACAACCTGTGGCGCTTTTCTCTCTGAAACAAGCGGCGGTGGATGGAGCAGCTACATCCACGTGAGCTCATCCCGAATGATAATGTCACCATAAGCAAATCCAGATAAAGAGTTCCTGGGCTGAGGGACGTCCCTCAATCACCGCGTTTCTGTTCTTGGCTGTGACGCCACTTCCTGTGTCAATAAAGGTTTAAAAAAATGACGACAGGCGACTCATTGGGGGGGGGGTCGTCTCAGGCTTCGCTGCTCATCACAGGTCTGGACAAAGCAGTCGTGCAAACATCCATCAGTGTAATCAGATTACTTACTGAACTTCAATGTCACAGCAGCTGTAATGGAAAAAAATGCCTTTATTGATTTTAGTTTCCATGGAAACAAAGAAAATCAGAGTCAGCCTCCAAAGCTCTCAAATTTTCTGCTGCTATGAATCACACTCACCCCTAACCTGCACAGGTGAGAGTTTTCTACCTGAGAGCTCAAACTGACACACTGAGGCGCTGGCCCCTCGCCAGAGATGACGACCTATCATCTGTAACTCCCCTCTGATCCCCCCCCTCTCACGCCCTGTGGAGAATCGCACCTTTCTGGCTTTATTATTTTACTTCCTGTTTGCTCAAAGCATAAAAAACAGGAAGTTGATGTTTGGGACTGTTAACTGGACAATAGTCATGTGACCAGATGAAGCAAAAACGCCATCTGCTGGTGAAACAAACTTTATTCACCCAAAACCCAAACAACAAAACATCAACACAAAGAGATCCCTCCACAAATAGGGACTGGTCACACCCACCACCTCATATTGGCTGTCACAACATGAATTTTAACCAACAGCAACATCCATTAACATCCAGCCAATATTTACCTTTAAATCCTAACTTTAATTTTGAAAGTCTTGCTGCAGGAAAAGTGTTCATAATAATGTTACCACTAATTCAAAACAAAAGGGGTTTTAGCCTTGAGCTAATATGCACGTTACATAGTGGGTGGGATGTAGTGTGTGGCTGTGTGGTGAGGGGACGGGGCAGCAATGTATCCAACAACGTGAGAAGGGTTGGGGGCAGGGCAGTAGAGTCGTGGGGCGTGGCCTCCAGTCGATATTGGCCCCAGTGGACAGAGGAAGGGAGGCATGGGTGGTAGGAAGAGTGGTGAGGGTGGTGGGCGGGATGTGGAAGAGGAGGTGCAGGGGCTGTAGTCAGGTAGGTGCTTGGGGGTGGAGCTTCATATGGCAGGTGGAGTAGTGGGAGAGGAGGAGGGAGGGGCGACTGATCTGGGTAGAGGAGAGCAGAGGAGGGGCGGAGCCTGGAGGAGTAGGACTGATGGAGGAGGAGCTTTCCATGGAGACACCTGAGGAGACAAACCACATGCTTATATTTTCAAAGTAAATTCGTTTATAATGCAGAAAATTTGGGTTTTAACGTGGAGGCAGACTAATCATGTGACCTGACCAATGACTAACAGCGCCTGCAATTGGCCCATTGTGCTTCTGTCTTCATTTACACTGCACCTGACTCCAGAATTACTGCATCGCACTTCCTGTCTGTTGCCACGCCTGTTTGCTATGTTCATCCGGTCAAATTTCACCTTAATAACAATACAGTAGTCATTCGGTACAGGAATGTGACAGCTGGATGGTGTAGGGTTCACCCCACCCTTCCTTCCTCATCACGCCACTCTCACCGTTATGCAGCTGTAAAGCTTCACCAACAGACCTGCTGACCTCCGGCACTTCTACACTGTTTTATTGACAAACACTTCCTGTTTTGGCAGCGTGTGCACTCCAAAGGTAAAGGTGTGTCACTAGTACTGACCGCCGTTGTGTCCCTCTGTCTGTCCATCTGCAGACCTGGAGGATTCTGGGTAGGAGCTGGCGGGCTGATGGGAGATCCGCCCAGTCTCAGAGAACGGCTGGGAGGCAGCTGGGGACGGAAGATGGGACAGATCAAGTCACAGTAAAGGGGGTGGAGCTTAAATTAAAACACCTGAGGGACCATCCATGCTGTAATGACATCACTGCACACATCTTCCTGTTAGTCATGTGTTCCCCACAGTTGCCGCCTACCTGATCGCACTGTTTTATTGTGAAAGGCTTTGCTACGGAAGTGAAGGCTCAGCTAAAAGATGAAACTTGCATCTTTTGTATACAGGTGGAGGAAGTGCAGCACCACCTGCTGGAACCGATCACTCTTACCGTGCAGAGGGGCTCCTGGCCCAGGTAGGGCGTGTAGGGCTGGTAGGGGTAGGCAGTCTCAGGTGAGGAGGCGGGATACACCTGCTGCTGTTGCTGCCAGCAGCTCTGATGGTACCACTGAGGAGACAGATGGTCACATGACGGTCACATGACAAATTCAGAGCATCATGTCATCACCTGAACCTGAAACACCTGCAGAATCATCTATAAACATTCAAAGAACCTGAAGGAAACGTGTGTCTCTTTGAAATGGCAGCCACAGGTTAAAGGAGAGGAACACCAGTCACATGACCTCCACAGGACCCAGGTGATCAGAGTGTCCTTGGAAGATGTTTACCACACCTGCAAGTGACTCAGGTGCACTCAGACTTCTGCTGCTAAAACAGATTTGCCAGTGGAGGAGCTGAGCTAGTTTCAGTCATTATGTCCTGTTTATAGGTCGGAAACCTGCAGTCAGCTGAGACTGAAGGATCACCTGGATGATAACGAAAGGTTTCTCCCACTGAAAACGTCCAGAACAGAATCAACATTCTGTGATGCTCCGTGAGTTCATTCAGGCGTCTCACCTTCACCTGTCAGCGCCGCTTCAAAGACTGCTGTTTACTGTTCAGGTGTCTCTTACCTGGACGCCCAAATTGAAGTAATACTGGAGGACTCTGCAGTCTACACACACACACACACACACACACACACACACACACACACACACACACACACACACACACACACACACACACACACACACACACACACAGACACACACACATAAATCAAACTGATCCATATGGATACAAACTGTAAACACAAGCTTTTGACTTCTGACCTCTTGGTAAATCACTTCCATTAGGGTCATATGAATAAGGGGCGGGGCTACCACAGTGCAGAGCGGCTCACCCAACTCATTAACCAACCAGGAAGAAGCAGCTGGGATCGCCATGGCAACTGGAACCAGAAAACGTGTTAGTGTATGGCAACCTACTGAGAACCAATGAGACTGAAAGACTTCGTGTCAGCTAAAGCTCTCAGAGGTGACAGAAGTCCCTCCCCCTGATATTCAGACTTCCTGTTTTAGAGGTGCAGCCAATCAGAGCCAATTAAAGCGGGTTCGGGCCTTAAACAGGGCAGAGCTCTGAGAGAAGTAACTGAGGTGGGCAGTGTTTGCTTACCTGAGCGTGTCTGCGCGTGTGTGGCTGACGGCAGGTGAGCAGCTGCTGGTAGCCGTGATGAGGAAGAGGAGGGTGAGGAGGAAGAGGAAGATGGAGACGAGCAGATGACTGACAGCGGCTTCACTACCTGAAACACACACACACACACACACACACACACACACACAGCAGTGAGCGAACACCTGCAGCTCTGCAGGCAGCCCTTTTGGTTCTGGATGGAGCAGTGGATCTTTTCCAGACTGAGACATGACATGAGATCAGCAAGCCACCGAACATGGGAGGGCGGGGCAGCGGCCTTCCACCTCTCAAGTCCACCTCATGGACTTGAGAATGGGAGCTGGGGTTACACTGCACAGTTTATTATAGATGCGAGACATTACAGCTTTGCCTGATAGTTGCAAATTAAGGAGCTCGTCCAGTAAGTTAGCAGCTGGAGCTTCTGGAAAATTTGAGAGGTGGGATTGCAAAAAATGTCTGCTTTGTAAAATCTATCTAAAAAAGTGAGTTTTGGGAAGATGTATTTTCCTGCCAGCTGATCGAATGATGATAGTTTATTGTGTATAAAGAGACCTTTAAAGTAAATAATACCTGCTCTAAACCAGACCTGGAACAAGTTGTCCAAAGCTGGGGGAGGAATAGGTGGTTTGAAAGGATGGGGCTTTTAAGTGAAAAATAATTAAGATTGAAATGTCTCCTGAACTGCGCCCAAACCCTGAGGGAGTGCCGAATTATTGGATTAGATGTAAAGTTGTCAATGGATGAAGGAAGAGAAGAACCCAGAAAGAAGGCAAGAGAAAATTCCCTGAGTTGAGCCTGATTCCATTGCCAGCCAGCTGGTGGGGCCCACACCCTCCCCAGACTGGAACCAGTAGGTCAGGGACCGAATGTTGGCAGCCCAATAGTAAAAGCGGAAGTTGGGGAGTGCCAGACCCCCTTCAATCTTAGGTTTCTGTAAATGCACCTTAGCTACTCCAGGTCGTTTACCCTTCCAAATATAAGAGGAGATTCCAGGAGAGTCTAGAGTTGTAAAGAAAGACTTGGGGATGAAGACTGGTAAAGATTGAAATAAGTTGGTCTCAAAGGTACGGTTTAACTTGGTTTAAATCCTACCTCTCAGAGAGGTCGTTCTCTGTTGCTATGGGGCAACACTCCTCGGCTTCTGCCCCTATTTACTGTGGTGTGCCTCGAGGGTCCGTGCTCGGTCCTGCTCTTTGTACATGTTGGGATTAATTTTTAGTAAATACAACATCTCCTTTCACCGTTATGCCGATGATATCCAGATTTATTCACCTCTGAAATCCGATGTGTCTGCTTCTTTGCAACCTCTGTTCAACTGTTTGCATGAAGTTAAATTTTGGTTATCACATAATTTTCTTACATTGAGCGAAAATAAGACCGAAATCATAGTCTTTGGTAGTCACACTCTGCTAGACCGGTTAGCTGATGCCCTAGGCCCTCTCGCTAGCCATCTCTCGCTCACTGTAAGGAACCTCTGAGTGTTCCTGGAGGGCCCTTTTAAACTTCAGAAACACGTCTCCACTGTGGTAAAAACAGCTTTTGCCAGTTGCGTCAGATATCCAAAGCAAAGCCATTACTTCCTTTAAAGGACCTTGAAAAGCTTGTCCACGCATTTATCACATCCAGACTGGACTACTGTAACTGCCTCTACTCGGGCCTCCAACACTCTTCTCTTTACCGGCTTCAGTTAATTCAAAATGCAGCTGCGCGTCTTTTAACAGGTACGAGAATCTATGAACGCATAACTCCAATTTAAGCAAATTACATTGGCTCCCTGTCAAATATCGCATAGATTTTTAAATTCTTTTGTTCACTTTTAAAATTCAGAATAATTTAGCGCCCAGCTATCTCTCTGAACTCCTCCACTTACACAATCCCAACAGAGCACTTAGATCGTCCAATCACAGGCTCCTTGCACAACCTAGGTCTCGAATGAAGTCGAGCGGTGACCGGGCCTTTGCAACCGTGGCACCCAGACTCTGGAATAACCTCCCTGTTCATGTTCGTACTGCCGAGTCGATCCAGTCGTTTAAATCACGTCTTAAAACTTATCTTTTTACTTTGGCCTTTGATTCTAACTCGTTGGCTGTTTTAGCTTATTGTGTTGTTACCTATTGTTTGTTGTCCTGTTTTATTGTTTGTTTTAATTGTCTTGTGTTTTCACTGACTGTGAAGCACTATGGTCAACACTGTTGTTTTAATATGTGCTCTATAAATACATTTTGATTTGAAGTGTAAGAATTTAGGAAGGATATTCATTTTAATTGAATTAATTCGTCCGACCACAGTTGTGTTCAGGGGTGACCACTGTTGAAGGCTTTGTTTGACATTCTTCAATAGTGTAAAAAAGTCGGCTTTGAGAAGTTGTTTATACTTTCTTGTAATTGTAATACCAGGTAGGTGAACTGCTCCTTGACCACTTTAAAGGGGAAACCCGACAAATCTATTGGAAACGCTTCTTCATTTGATAGACAAAGTTCGCTCTTGGACAGATTTAATTTATAACCACAGACTTGACTGAAACGCGTGAGTAGAGACAATATAGACGTTAGGGAAGCATGTGCATTTGAGATAAAAAGCAATAAATCGTCAGCATAGAGAGAGACTGTTCAGTTTGACCTCTTTGTATGCCCTGGACAAGTTTACTGCTTCGAAAAAGCATTGCTAAAGGTTCAGTAGCTAGATCAAATAACAACAGGCTAAGGGGACAGTCCTGACGTGTGCCACGTTTGAGTTTGAATGGTTTTGATTTCTGGCTATTAGTGCAAACAGACGCAACAGGGGACAAGTATAGGCACTTGATCCATGAGATGAAGTTGGGACCGAACCCATATCTTTCCAGCACAGCAAATAAATAGTTCTACTCCACGGCATGAGTTGAAAGAAGTTCAAATTTGGTTTGGAGTTCAATATGTTTCTTGTAAACCTCAGAGTCCTTATTGTATGCATAGTGATGGTCCAAGTGTTTTATTTTATCAGCTAATTCTTGCCTTTCTTTGAAGTTTACCCTCTTTACATTAGCTGTATATGAAATGATCTGCCCTCGGGATAGGCCTTCATTGAGTCCCAAACTAAAAGGCTAGAAATATTTGGGGAAAGATTGGCGTCTAAAAAGAGCTTAATTTGGTTATTTATAAATTCCAGAAAGGTATTATCAGATAGTAGTGTGGGGTTAAAACGCCAACTCCTGTCTGTTCTAGGTAAGTCAGGCATAGCCAGTCAGAATTAAAGGGGCGTGGTCTGATATAACTATGGCACGGTATTCACAGGCACATGCAATACTAGTCAAGTAGTCTATCCTAGAAAAAGTGTGATGGACGTTAGAGAAAAAGGAATACTCCTTTCAGTCAGATGCAGATATCGCCAGATATCCCTGTTCCCGTATGTAGAAAGAAAGGAATGAATGTGTTTATGTTTTTGAACAAAAACAGGAAATGCACACTCAGACTTTGTCCCGACTGCCGTTAGACCAAAACCAAGAGAAGAAGAGAGCTCGGCGCGTCACAGGAACAGGAAGTGCTCAAAGTCCAAGCACCACCACCTTCAGAGGTTGCGACCTCTGGAGGATGACGTTGGACAGGCGCTTTAGGCCTGCTGTACAGGTTTTTGATTGGACGAACAATGTTTAGAGCCGTTCTCTGTCCAGCTTGTCGCCGCCCACCGAGACGAGGCGGAGCAGAGATGGCAGCTGCAGTCTATGGCGCGGTCGCAACGATATTCTCCTGAAGTCTGAAGCAGGAAGTTGAACTTTCCCGGGTCTGAAACGAGACGCTCAGACTGCGAGGCAGCAGCGCCAACCACTGAGCTACCCTGGCACTGCTGTCACACACGCGATGATGTCACCTTCAAGCTACGCTGCGGGACGTACCTGCTGGCTGTAGCTGAAGTTCACGTCTGATCTCGTGGGAGAGTCAGCCACGCCTCCTTCCTGCTCATCCTTTCAAAATAAAATAAAAACAGACTGATTACAGCTTCATGGGGTCACTGATCACATGACCTCTTCACACGTGCGAATTTCAAACCAGTTTTCATGTGCAACATTATGCTGACCTGCATCACACTAACAGGAGACAGAGGTCAGCTCTTACCTGATTGGTGGAGGTCTCAGTGGCGCTGTAAACTCCGGAGGTCTGGAAACTCTGATCTGAAATAGTGTGAGACGGAGTCACCAACATGGCTGCTGCAGGGAGGCGTGTCACAGCGGGATCACGTTACTCACCCTGTGAACTGTAGATGAAGTCCTCCGTGTACTCGGCTGCATGCGGGAGACACACACACACACACACACACACACACACACACACACACACACACTTAAAGTCAGTTTCTGATGAGTTTTCACAGTAAAAACCTCTCATTAGACTTTTACTGTGAAAGGTTACTAAGGGGAAGGAAGTGAAAATCTGAAGTGAGCAGTGGCGTCCTCACCCTGGTCCTCCACTGTGCTTATGTCCTCCTGCTCCTCCTCTGACGAGCACACGGGAGTGTTTCTGGGTGGGGGGGCAGGGGAGAGGGGCCCAGAGCCTCTCTGAACTCTATAGGAGGAGCCAGAGGGAGGGGCTGGGGGACCAATGGAGGGGGGAGGAGCCACAGTGGGGCCCTGCATAGGAAACAGTAAAATGTGACCTGAAAATGTCACACCTGAGTCTTCTTCTTCGACAACAAGTCTGTGACCAATCATCAGTCGCCTCACTCAAGGGCCCTTTCTATTGGCTGCCAGCAACAACCAAGAAAAGGCTGTATATAAAAGATAGACATGTTTGTAGGAGTTTAAAACTGCATTCTTGTTAATGGCCTAGAGGGGGCGATAGCTGTGGTCACGTGGAAGTGGAAAAAACCTCAGTCACTCATCTCAGCTCACACACAATAAAATGGAGTCTGACGTCTCAGAGGACAAATATCTGGGACACTCTTAAAGATGTGATGTCGCTGCTTACCTCACCTGTCCTCAGTAATGTAGAATCTGGTTTTTGAGTAACCATCATTTAAACGTGTTTACCATAAACCACGTGAAGTACACGGCCCCTCCCACCTGCCTCAGCGCTCCGTGCACACACGCGCCGCCATCATCGGAGGATTTTTCCCAGCACATACTCACTGGCAGCGGAGGGAAGACGCCGTCGCCGGCGCCATCGAGCTGGTAGTACGAGATGGCTGCGTCCAGATCGGCCGGCTCCTCCACCGCCTCGGGAAAACCAAACTGACACTCTTTGTTCAGAGCCGCTGCCAGCTGACGCCGACTGCGCCTGAAAAAACCACGGAGGAGAAAATAAAAACCCACCGACTGACATCACATCCTCTTTCAGGCCAGAGTGACTTTGTCTGCGATTACAGCACCTCATGTCACATGACTCGATTCATTTTAAAAACAGGAGCTGCTTCAGAGATCAGCTGACCGGTCATTCCTGGTGGTTACATCAGTGTCGTGCGTGTTGGCGTGTCGTGCGTGTTGGCGTGTCGTGCGTGTTGGCGTGTCGTGCGTTTACCGGGACCTGAAGGTGAAGCTCTCGTAGTCCTGATAATACCTGCGACCAGGATGGTAATAGGTCAGCTGAGTACCAATCAGGTGACGGTTCAGGAAACGGGTGGAGCTTCTGACCAGAAACATTTGCGCGCATGCACACACACACACACACACACACACACACACACACACACACACACACCTCATTAACATGATATTTTTTACCGATGGTCGGAGCCACTGACATCGATCAGGAAACTAAGGGGGCGGGTCCCACCTTTAGAAAAGTGCATTTAAAACATTTGTGTCTGTGAGTCAAACTGCACAGGTGCATCTCAGGTAAAGTCTCACCTTGAGGCTCCGTAGCGTGGTGTTCGGGCTGGGGGGGGATGGTGATGGTGAGGGGGGGCATAGGGGTCATAGGTCATAGCTCCAGGTGATGGAGGAGGGGGTGGGCGGGGTGGCCCGCCGGTTGGAAGCGAGGTGGCAGACTCGAGGGGCGGGGCCTCCATAGGAAGGAGGAGGTGGGATTAGCAGCTCTGTTCCCTTCATCCCACGAGATTTCCTGAAGTAGCGATGGCGGTGATGCCGCTGACCACGAGAGTCCGGGTCTGAGGGAGAGACAGGAAGAGACCGTACAGGAAGTCAGGTGAGTAACAGGAAAAGGATAAAACAAAACAGGGAGGGAATGGGGAAAAAAAAAAAAGAAGCACCGAGGTCTCCTTTTCTGGAGGGCGCAGCCACATTCCAGGCGGGAACCGGATTCACGGGTTTGAGGTCCGTCAGAGGGACCAGGTGTCTGTGAGGAAAGACACGTGAGTGATGTCACAGCGGCACTGATGGACGTGATCCTGCCGTGTGTGTGTGTTACTTCTCGCCCAGTTCCTCGATGAACACCGTGACGGCGGATGAGTGCGTTCCCACTTCCTGGATGAAGGCGTTGTAGTACTTGCCCTTCGGCTCCAGACGCACCTGAAACAAGTTTCATTCCTGATGTCACAAACATGGTGGCTAGGGGGTGGAGCCAAAAATAAAATGCCACCTATCTTATAGTACCACAAATGTTTTTGGAGCTTCATTCATAAGAGTTACAGCCAGTAACCACAGACAGTAACTGTTTTTCAGTGCTTTCCGTGTCTGAACAACTGATTAAAGTTTGACCTCTGACCCCTCGCTGTAGTGACCTCACCAAAAACTCACAACACGCATACCGAGACGCCTCAGGGGCCTGTTCTTCGTACCTCGCTAAGTAAGTTAGCTGGATTAGATTGTTGACGATTTCGCGTGATCCTGGATCGTTCGGTTCCCCGAAGCCCATCCGGGACTTGCTGTCATAGCAACAGAGCCGTAAGCGTAAACCTGCTGGGGAGCAGGTTTACTTTATGTAAACAGGATTAGATCGCGGCCACGCAGGTATTTCCGCGTCATTCATACGAAAGCAACAGCGATATTCCACCACTGTTTCACCATAAATAAATAACATCACTGTAACCAAAGATAATGCAGCACTTGATCCTTTTATTGATTTCACACAGATACATACAGGTCATTTCCTAAAAAAGGGAAATGAACTATTAACATTCTATTACATGTATGTGATTATTACAGATGTAAGTCATATGTCACAGTAGTAATAGTAAATTACTTCATGTAATCAAGATGAGAGACCACGGCTATAAAAGCGAAGGTGGATTTGGGAAGCCTGTCGCAGCCATGTCCTGTCCGTATACGCGAGCAACCCATTGCGGAAGGTGCAAGATTGATAAGGAGAGTCCTCAGAATTCAGCGTATATTGCGGGACAGACAGGATCCTTTAGCTCAGCGCGACAGTGTGCTCATAGAGAGATATCGATTTTCCCGTGAGGATATTATTTACTTAACCAACTTGTTGACGAGGGGGTGCAGGACCACCACCTGTCTTTTTTTTTTGCTCTGCCCTTTTCTTGGTTGCTGTTATAAACAAACAGATTATTCCAGGGTCTCTTTCCAAGAGACGAAAAGCAATATAAGTGATAAATATTACCATTCTGTAGAATATTCTTATATTTCACTTTTACTTGTTCCCATGCTCTAGTGGGTCCTGTTGTGGCTCTAATGTGAAAGGGGATATAATATAACATATTATAATATAATATAATGTAATATAATATTGGATAATATCGTGTCATATGATAGATCTACCCTACCGCCTACTGGTGTTGGCCAGAGGGGCCGATGGTGCGATATGGCAGCCTGGCTTCTGTCAGTCTGCCGCAGGGCAGCTGTGGCTACAACCGTAGCTGCCTCCACCAGTGTGTGAATGTGAGAGTGAATGAATAGTGGCATTGTAAAGCGCTTTGGGTGCCTTGGAAAGCGCTATATGAACCCAATCCATTATTATTATTATTATTATTATTATTATTATTATTATTATTGTTATTATTAAATTACTTACGAGTTTAATTTGTCAGCAACTTTCTGCCAGCCCTCTCTCCTTGCTTTTGCAGCCTTTGCAGTGTTCCCTTGTGTTTTAATTAAACTCTGAAACTCCTGAAATCCCTCAATGAAGAGTTCTTGCTCTGCTGCTGGAAAATACCGAGCGCGCTCCTTCGACATTTTTGCCGACCAATCAGCGGGTTGCCGATCAATGTTTCTACTATCGATGCGTAGCCCCTTTTACGACACCCAGTGATCTCACATTACTGCGTCCAGCTGTACTAATCGTCAACAGCAGGTGTGTTCGGAGAACCGGATTAGCGAGCTCACGGTTAGCGCGATGGTTTGGTCTTGGATGTGTCATTTGATCTTGGATGTAGTAAGCGAGGTACGAAGTGTAGTGAAATGCTGACAGCTTTTAATTTGAAAGGAATACAGGAAGTGTCAAGAGTTTGTAAAGGAGATTGAGCCTAGATGCACTGGTGGATTATTTTATTGCAGGTGAGGTCAAAGGTCAGAGAGCGGTTCCTTTTTTTCCTGTCATGTAAAATGTTGACAGAGCTTTGACGAGGACGTCCGTCTCTGCACATCGATATAAATCAGAATAAAAATAATAATAATTCACCATGTCATAAACAGCGCCAGCCTTATTAAGCATCACTGGGCACTCTCCCTTTGTATCCTGTAGCATCTAGATAACCTGCCGGCTGTGAGGTCAGAGCCTGAGGCGGTTTGGTGTGAATGAACTCTGACCTCTGTGTCTGAACCTTGTTCACATCCGCGTTATAAAGTTTTCAGTAATACAGTCTTCTTACCTGACACTTGTCTCCCAGGAAGTACTGCCTCCCTGCAAACACCATGTAGTCCGTCTTCTGCATCTCTGTCACAGTGATCAGATTAGACCGTCACAGGAAGTAATCAGATTACACAGCTGTCAGTTGTACAGTGTCCAGCTTCAGTTCACCAGCATTACTTTATCCTGACGCTGGTCTGGATTAGTTAAACCTGCGTTACCTTTGCAGGTGTCCTGCCACACATCGAACTCCAGGTTTCTGTAAACGTCCCCGTCCAGAGACTTCATCACCTTGTAGGGCAGAGACAGTCTGGAGGGAGGCGGAGCTTCTGCAGGAGGCTGAACAACAAAAACATTACATCAGCTGCAGTTCCTGATGTCCAGCAGAGGCAGCAGTGAGTCAGTCCCATAAACTTCCATGTTTGCTGACTGCTAGCTTCACCTGACCAATAATATGGCTGCTGTGAGGTTACCGTACCAACAGATCATCCAAGAAGGCGGAGCTCCAGTTTAATGAGTGAAATTCAACAGTTATGATTGGATGCCACTGACTTGCACGTCACGGATTCTTCTGGCATCATTTGGCTCTTTGCATTTTTACCTTTCTTACTTCACCAATGACGAGTTCACGTGTTCCAGGTCCTGCTGATGGCGTCCTACGACTCTGAACAAACTCAGGCTGAAACTAGACATTAAAAGCTGCAGAGCAGAGGTCGTCAATGCAGAGCCTCAGGCGTGAAGCAGGAAGTAGAGCGTGTTTCTAAAGACCCTGGTGGCTCCTCTGAACGTTCTGGAGGATTCGGCACTGTGGTTGTTTTTTAAGTTTCATTTTTCTTTAAGTTTTTGGTACTTTTGTTGCTGTTAGTGTTGTTATCCACGAATGCTCGGGCGATCGAATCGGCATCTATCAGCATTCCTACCTTTGAGTCGTCCGTCACAGCTCGTGGTTTCTCCTCGATGGGTCCGCCTGACTCCGCCTCCTCACTGCAGAGCACAAACAAATGGGCCCTCAGTTCTGATGTTTCCATGACGATGGCTGCTTCATCAGTTTCTGATTTCGTCTGTCACCGTTGCCCTGGTTACCATGATTCCAGGTCAGAGCTGCTCTGCCGCAACGTCCTCAGGTGTGTATGTGTTTACCTGTGCCCGCGGTCCTCAGGTGTGTCATATCCAAGGTCAACATCACTGCACATGGATGGACTGTTTCTATAGCGACGACCTCCGACCCTGAAGGCCTCCATGGCCTGGCAGAGCTCCGCCTCCTCAAAGCCAAATACCTGAGTGTAAAGCAGCTCATACAGAAGAGCTACACACACACACACACACCACACACACACACACACACACACACACACACACACACACACACACACACACTGAGTGCAGAGGAACTATAGACTTTCTGTGTTCGGCCAATCAGATAGCAGCACTCACACTGACAGAGGGCGGCAGAGGCGGGGTAACTCCTTGGGTAAACAATGTCATAGTGACCATTGATGGAGCAGCACAGCGTCACCTCGGCAACACAAAAGACTGACAGTCAGCACCAGCCAATTACCTCACAGACCTCAGGGTCACGTGACCTTACCTTGTCCACAAAGTCGTCCTCCGAGATGATGGTGGCTGGTTTCCCCGGGTAACGGTAGATCAGGAAGCAGCGCCTGCACACATGGAGTCATGTGACTCAGAGTCGTACTGAACCAGAGCGATAAGGGACGCCTCATTTATGATGTCATCACGCCACAGACTCAAACTGATACTGACATATTCACGGGTGCACATAAGTGGTCCGCAGGTGCACATTTGCTGTCAAAATAAAAGACGCGCACCAGATAAGAAGTTGCAACGCGCGTTTGCGTCCATACAAAAGGCAGTGTCTTTGTCCACTTGAGCAGGATTTTCACAGCACATTCTGCAACACATCAGTCTTTATTTATAAAGCACTTTTCATACAAAAATGTAGCACAAAGTGCTTTACATGGTTAAAAGCAGCCCACCCTACCACTCACTCCCCACACTCTCATTAACATGAACGATCATGGATACACACACACACACACACACACACACACACACACACACAGTAAAATTGGGCTGGGCACACATGAGCCAGGTGAGGAAACACTATCACAGGGAGCCGGTCACAGACCGCAGCTTCCAGGCCGGGCACACGGCAGGAGGGAGGCAAAGGAGCCCCCCAGCCAGGCTGAGAGGACCCACAGAGCCCCAGCAGCCCCGGTGCAGAGAGCCCCCTCTGAGGAAACACTGGAGATATGACCTAATAAGAGTATATGCAGAATAAAAAGATAAAATAAATAAGAATGGGATACAGTATAAATATAAATAGAGTAAGAAGATAAAAAACAAATAAGAATAAAATCAATAAATATTAGGTAAAACCTAAATTAACAATATAAATAGAATAACAGGATAGAATAAATAAGCATAAAATAAATAAACGCTAAGTGAAAGCTAAATTAAAAAGGTGGGTCTTGAGCCTGTTCTTAAAAACATGTACGTTCTCTGCGGCCCTGAGCTCCTCCGGCAGGCTGTTCCACAGACGAGGACCATACCACTGAAAAGCTGCCTCTCCGTGAGTATGTGTCCTGACTTTAGGGACAATCAAAAGGCCAGTACCAGAGGACCTCAGGGTCCGCGAGGGTTCGTATAGTAAAAGCAGATCTGAGAGATAAGAAGGCCCAAGACCATTAAGACATTTAAAAACCAATAAAAGAACTTTAAAATCGATCCTGAAACACACGGGGAGCCAGTGCAGCGATTCTAAAACCGGTGTAATGTGGGCCCGCCCTCTGGTCTTCATCAGCACACGAGCTGCCGAGTTTTGCAAGAGTTGTAAAGTTGAAATATTCTTCCTAGGAAGACCAGAGAGCAGGGCAGTAATCAATGCGACTGGTAATAAAAGCATGCATCAGCATCTCCGTGTTGGCCCGAGAGAGAATAGGGCGACTCTGGCTATATTTTTTAGATGATAAAATCCAGTTTTAAAAGAACAGCGTGGTCTACTGTATCAAAGGCTGCGCTTAGATCCAGTAGCACCAGGACTGAGAGCTTTTGGGCGTCCCAGTTACATCTAAGATCATTTAAAACCTTTAGGAGAGCCGTCTCTGTGCTGTGGTTCACCCTAAATCCAGACTGGAATATCTCCAGGATCTGTCTATCATTCAGAAAGTCATTAGTCTGAGTAAAAACAAGTTTTTCTAAGACTTTACTTAAAAATGGTGAGTTGGATACAGGTCTGTAGTTATTAAAATCATTACAGTCCAAATTGCTCTTCTTCAGAAGGGGTCTCACCACCGCCGTTTTAAAGGCAGCAGGGAAGACACCCAACTGAAGAGAGCAATTCATCATGTATAAAAGCTCAGCCTCAAAAAATCCATAAAGTGTTTTAAAGAGTGAAGAAGGAATTGGATCTAAAAGACATGTGGTGGGTCTCACTGTGGAGAGAACTTTCTGAAGGTTCTCAGCATTAACCAGGACAAAGCTGTCCAGTGTCTCCTCAGGTACAATCGAGCCATCAGATGTGTTTACAAACATATCGCGATTAGATAAAATATCAGATCTGATGGCGCTGACGTTTCCCCTGAAGTGGTCTGCAAACTGCTCACAGAGCGAGTCTGTGGGCTTCTTTGGGAGCTGTTAAAATCAGGGTTAAATAAATGATCTATGGTGGAAAAGAGGACCTTGGGATTATTTTTGTTATTACTGATTATTTTGGCAAAGTATGAATTTCTTGAGTTCCTTAGTGTATTATTGTACATTTTAAGTTGCTCGCAAAGTATTTGATGGTTGATTGCATTTTTATTTTTCCTCCACCTCCTTTCTGTGTGTTCACCATTGGTTTGAAGCCAGCTCACCTCCTGCAACCACCCTTCCGAGAATACGCGCTTCTTTTGCGGTTCGGACTCCTGACATTTCTTTGGAGGTGGAGGAACACCAAAGCGGCTTGCTTCTTCGACACCTAGTTCTAAACAAATGTCTGTCCTCCTCCAGAGAATCTTATGGACGCGCGTTGCAACTTCTTATCTGGTGCGTGTTTTTTATTTTGACAACAAATGCACACCTGCGGACCACTTATCTGCAACCCTGGATATGTTCCTATTACTGCCAGCAGTAAATGTGTTTGCCCTGCACAGCGCCCCCTACAGTGGCCCCTTAGTGCCAATCCCCAGTCCTGTTTAAGCAGGTTTTTCCTCACACGTCTATAACATGTTCACTTTTCACCTGCACCTCCTCACTGAGAAGCAGAGATGGTCAAGTGTGTTTCAAATGCTTTAATTTAAACATCATGAAGCGCAAAACAGTTTAAACCAATCTAAACCTCTTTACAGTGTGAAGCTCCACCCCTCGGAGTGAATCACCTAAGGGGTGTGGCTACGGACAAAGTTCAATACGTGTTAGCCGTTTCTCTGCTTTAGCTCCATCAACAAATCTTAGCACTCGAGTCAGAGATAACGGGATCCCCACGCTGAATATGAACTCTGCTTCAGTAAAAACAGGCGTTTCACAGGTCATGTGACTCTTCTACTACACAGAATTAGGGCTGCTCGATTATGGCAAAAATGATAATCACGATTATTTTCACTGAAATTGAGATCTCGATTATTTGACGATATTTATTTAACCCTTTAAGACCTACTATAGAACCAAGTCCGCCAGAGCTTATATTATATTTTTACAGTCTGTAGTGCCGTTTGTGGGAGCATTTCAAGTTGCTATACAACTGTTATAGCCCATATTTTAATAATATGTCTGCATTAAGTGCATAGTAATTACATTAATTGCAAAAAAGTGCAATAAACTACAAAAAAATTGAAAATCGTTTGTTTTTTTTACATATATATTTCTACTTGGAGAAATTTAAGAGGTTTATCCCTCAAAACTTTAAATACAATAAAGTTGCAAAAATAGTTTACAACAACAGGAAATTTATTTTGAGTGTCTTCATAGTTTTATTTTGGAGATACAGCAATTTTTATATACTGCAGGAAAAACAAAAAACAATCCTATGATGCAAATTTGCAAAGAAAGCAGCAGGTGCATCAAAATAAACAATTTCCAGCTGTGCAATTCGAGTTCTAAGCATCACAGAAACTATTCAGAAAAGTCAAACATGACCAGTATAGGCTTTTAAGGCCTACCATTAAAAAAAACTACAATTTCCGCGAAAATGACGTAACTTCCGGTTTCGGGGAGGAAATGGCGGACATGTGATAGTTCGCGCTGACGTCTGTTTCACTGTGGGAAGTGTTACGAACAGCTGATCAGATCGGCAAAGCCTGTTTCTGTAATATTATGTTTTTGTTCCTGCAAGCGCTTTTAATGCAATTTTTGCAAAGCTTTATGTGGAAGGAAACCGTGACCGAGGACAAGCTGATGGCATAAGATGCAAGTACAACTCCTCCGGTTTCATATGCAAAACAAATTATTGCGCTAGCTTACACGGTTCAGGTTCTACAGGGATTTAAAAATAGTTACACAAATCGGAGCGTGCTGCTCTGACCGGCTTTAAAGGGTTAACAATGACTTTAAAAAATAATATAAAATAGTGTGCAACACCACTGAAGTTTTTTTTACCTCTCTTTTCAACCAACAGCAGTCACTCTCCAAATAACTTCTGCTTAGCTTTCCGAGCTTCCTCTTAATTAGCGGTCTCCAACCATTTTTGCGCCACGGACCGGTTTATGCCCGACAATATTTTCACGGACCGGCCTTTGAGGTGTCGCGGATAAATGAGGGAGGGGCTAATAATCGGCTCAGTCATTTTTAATGATCGTTGAAAGCCCAGATCGTAATCGTGATTAAAATTCGATTAATTGAGCAGCCCTACACAGAATGATCCCTGTGAGTGTCGTCTGCTCCGATCAACGACGTAGGAGATGATGATGATGATGATAACACAACGGTAAATAATCTGAGAGATGATGAACCTGCAACCTGAATAGCTATTGAGCAACTACCATAATCATCCCACAGATGTAATATTATCTACAGCTACTCTTAGTACCATTGATGTTCATTTAGACTCTTTTTCTCCAATTGATCTTTCTGAGTAAAAGTCATCTGTTCACACAGCTCTTTGCTAACTACAGGCCAATCTCCAACCAGGCTGTAGGTATTACAGGTACTGTGCTGCAGTGGTTTGTATCATATCTATCTAATAGACTCCAGTTTGTTCATGTAAATGGAGAGTCCTCTTCACACACTGAGGTTAATTATGGAGTTCCACAGGGTTCAGTGCTAGGACCACTTCTGTTTACATTATACATGCTTCCCTTAGGCAGCATCATTAGAAGACATAGCATACATTTACACTGCTATGCAGATGACACCCAGCTCTATCTGTCCATGAAGCCAGATAACACACACCAATGAGTTAAACTGCAGGAATGTCTTAAAGACATAAAGACCTGGATGGCCGCTAACTTTCCGCTTCTTAATTCAGATCAAACTGAGGTTATTGTACTCGGCCCTGAAAAGCTTAGAAATATGGTATCTAAGCAGATTCTTACTCTGGATGGCATTACCTTGGCCTCCAGTAACACTGTGAGGAACCTTGGAGTCATTTGGAGCAGATTTCTCCTGTTTTGGCTTCCTGTTAAATCCAGAATTCAAAATCCTGCTCCTCACATACAAGGTCTTAAATAATCAGGCTCCATCTTATCTTAATAACCTTGTTGTTGCGACTTTCATCCGTAAATAAAGCCGCGGCCGGCTGAGTTGGTTGCGTCCCTGTGACGCGCCTCCAATAATCCATAATGAGTCGTACTTGTACTTTGCGCATTTATTTTAAGAACAAAACAAAAACAAACATTTGCGCTTTCAATCAATTTCCAACTAGCGCATGGATTAACTGGTGTGCCAAAAAATGACGGTCAACAGAAAAGTTTGCCCACAAACCACTCACCCAACACACCTGCTGCGAACACCGACATCAGGTAAATAGACTGTGACCACACCCACATACCATCACCTGAGACGCAGGTAAAACTATACACCTGTGCCACCAAAACAAAAAGGAAAAACATAAACATTGACTTTGGCTCTTACACTTGTAGTACCATATCACCCTATTAGAGCGCTTCGCTCTCACACTGCAGGTCTACTTGTTGTTCCTAGAGTATTTAAAGGTTTCTGATCACAACTAGGGCTGGGTATCGTCACTGATTTCTAGAATCGATTTGATTCCAATTTACAAGGTCCCGAATCGAATCGATTCGATTCGAATCTGGGAAATTTTGCCTCAGACAGTCAGAAATATTATAATTCAGATCTGTACATTAACATATTTTTGTATCTATATAAAGGAAGCTGACACTCGCAAGACTTTATCAAAGGTGTGAGCATCACAGCAGAGGCCTTTGTGTCAAAGTAGCTGAAGATAAAACAGAAAAACATGAAGGAGATTTTCCTGGCCTGGGATTTTATAAAAAATATTCTGCAGTAGATCAAAAACGAAAGAAAACCATTAATCAACATATGAAGATTACCTCTGAGTTACAGCGGTTTTATTAGAGACACAGCGTTTTGCATTTTGCATAATTTTAGAAAGTTTAAATTTGTTCAGTAACCTGTTGAACGGCAGAAATGAGGTTTTCTCTTCGGAAGTAGGTAAAAGGGAAAAAAACAGCGGCCGACAGGCTGTGAACAACGGCAGCCTTGTGCGTAACAAGCAAGCGAATAATGAAGAAAACAGATTTTTAAACGGGAAACTGTTCTTGAAATATACTGAGAGATAAAACTAACAGCTCTAGAATCAGCGCAAAAAGGACGTAAACACAAATCGCGGACCCGCCGAAACATCAGAATCAGCTCGTCGATTTTAATCGATGAATCAATTATCAAAACCCACCCCTAATCACAACCTGGTGCTCCTTGTCCCTGTGTATGAGCCCTTAGTGCGCAGGGAGCCACCACCACAGTCCAGAGATGGACGGAGGAGAGCGAGGAGGCTCTTAAGGACTGTTTTAAATCTACTGTGTGGGAGGTGACCTGTGACGACCACGGAGAGGACATCGACAGCCTTGTGACCTGCATTACTGACTATATTAACTTCTGTGTGGATAACGCCGCACCCAACAGGACTGTGCGGAGTTTCTCCAACAACAAACTGTGGATTACCGCAGAAATGAAAGCCGTCCTTAAGCAGAAGAGGAGGGCCTTCAAATCCAGGGACAAAGAGGAGTTGAAAAGGGTGCAGAGAGAGCTGAGGGGACTGATAAGGAATGGGAAGGAGAGCTACAGGCAGAAGATGGAGAACCAGCTTCAACAAAACAACGTTGGTGAAGTCTGGAGAGGCCTCAGAACCATCTCGGGCCACAAACAGCAGAACTCTCTGCCTGGGAGGGATGTGAGATGGGCAAATGAACTGAATCATTTCTTCAACAGATTTGATTCAACCATGAGGCAGTCTACAACATCGGCTGCAGACTCACCCACCCCCACTGCTGCTGTTCCACCTCAGACACTTCACACCTCCTCTATTCACCCTGCTCACTCCTCCCCACCCCCAACAACAGCATCCAACACACACTCAACACAAGGCTCCAGCCTGTCTCTCTCAACCACCCAGGTTAGGAGGGAACTGAGGAGGATTAATGGCAAGAAGGCAGCGGGTCCAGATGGCATCAGCTCGAGGGTCGTCAGGTCCTGTGCGGACCAACTGTGTGGGGTGATGGAGCACCTCTTCAACCTGAGCCTGAGGTTGGGAAGAGTCCCACAGCTCTGGAAAACCTCCTGTGTTGTACCAGTGCCAAAGACTTCACGCCCCAAGGACCTCAACAGCTACAGGCCGGAGGCTCTGACATCCCACCTGATGAAGACCCTGGAGCGGCTGGTCCTGGCTCAGCTTCGGCGCCTAATAAGCTCATCACTGGACCCACTTCAGTTTGCCTACCAGCCTGGCATTGGAGCGGATGATGCCGTCATTCACCTCCTACATCGTTCCCTCGCTCACCTGGAGACCGCTGGAAGCACTGTGAGAATCATGTTCTTTGATTTCTCCAGTGCCTTCAACACCATTCTTCCCTCGGTTCTAAAGGACAAGCTGGTGAACTCTGGAGTGGACCATCACCTCACTACCTGGATCCTGGACTACCTCACCGACCGACCACAGTATGTGAGGACTCAGGGCTGTGTGTCAGGCAGGGTCGTCTGCAGTATGGGGGCCCCACAGGGAACGGTTCTGGCTCCGTTCCTCTTCACCATCTACACTGCAGACTTCTCCCACAATTCCACCCAGTGCTTCCTGCAGAAGTTCTCTGACGACTCTGCAATAGTCGGCCTCATCACTGATGGGGACGACAAGGAGTACAGAGGACTGACTCAAGACTTTGTGGACTGGTGCCAGCTGAACTACCTCCAGATCAACGCCAGTAAAACCAAGGAGCTGGTGGTAGACTTCCACAGGCACAAGCATTCTCCACTGCAACCACTGAACATCCAAGGTATGGACATCGAGGCTGTGGACAGCTACAGGTACCTTGGTGTTCATCTGAACAACAGACTGGACTGGACTCATAACTCAGACACCCTCTACAGGAAAGGGCAGAGCAGGCTGTACCTGCTGTATTTTTACTCAGTTGTATATAGCATTTGTATTCTATTTTTATCCTATTGTATAATTTATTCTATTTTATTCTGTACAGTTGTGTACAGTATCTTATTCTATTTCAGTGTTCTCTAATTTTTGATATATATAACTTTGCACTGTCCACTTTCTGCTGTAACAAAACATATTAGTCCCACACGTGGGAAATTAAGGTTATCTTATCTTAAAAGTAGAATGGGAGGCAGAGCCTTCAGTTCTCAGGCACCTCTTCTGTGGAACCAGCTTCCAGTTTGGATTCAGGAGACAGACACTATCTCTACTTTCAAGATCAGGCTTCAAACTCCTCCCTTAGTTATGCTGCAACAGGTGTAGCCTGCCGGGGATTCCCATGATGCACTGGGTGTTTCTTCTTCACTCACTATGTGTTAACAGACCTCTCTGCATTGAATCATATCTGTTATTAACCTCTGTCTCTCTTCCACAGCATGTCTTTATCCTGTCTTCCTTCTCTCACCCCAACCAATCACAGCAGATGGCCCCGCCCCTCCCTGAGCCCGGTTCTGCCGGAGGTTTCTTCCTGTTAAAAGGGAGTTTTTCCTTCCCACTGTCGCCAAAGTGCTTGCTTGTTGTGATTTGGCGTTATATAAATAAAATTGTATTGTGATTTAGGATGGTATAAAACAAAAAAAGAAACAAAAGGAAAATTCTGGTTTGGTAGCCACACCCCTCAGGTCAGCTGGTTTCGAAACACGCCGTGACTGCTTTGAGGTCATCGAAGAAAACACAGCATACCTGCATCACTCACCTGTACAGCTGAGACAGAGCCTTGATCTCCACCTGACCCACCGTCTCCTGAAAACACACACAGGTTAACACACTGCCTGCAGGTGAACAGCTGACTGAAGGTCAAAGGTCAGAGATATTCACCTTTGGATCCTCCAGACGTTCCAGGTATTTCTCAAACGAGCCTTCAACAAACTGCAGAGGACAGAAAACACAGCACAATGAAGTAACTGAGTATTTCTCTCATACTCAGAATACTCTGAACTCACCGGCTCAAAGTTGCATCTATTGGCTCTCATGAAGTTAGCGCAGTCCTGACGGATCTTCTGATGGTAATTCTGAGAGAAATACAACTACACACACACACACACACACACACACACACACACGAGAACAGTTTTTCTGAGGTTAGCCTCGCGGGTCGCCATCACGCTGACGCACACACCCAGAAACCACTCCGAGATGACAAACAGCCGTCACTAACAGTCAGGGGGACGAGTTAGGGACAACCTCAGACTGCTGAGCAGCAAAGCTCAGGTGAGCTCAGGTGTGTCGCTCCTGGGGAACCTGCCAAACGCCTCAGCGGGAAGGAAACAGGAAGTTGCACCTCTAACAAAACACAAGAGTGACAATCTCTTCCTGCAGGAGAAAAGTAATCCACTACACTCCCATTGAGGTAAGAGTCACAGGTAATGGATTACTCAGAGTAACAAGCGAAGCTGATGGGAGGAGCTTCACACAGACATCTGAGGACAGGTGAAACCTCTGAGGAGTCCACAGGTCACTGACACGTGTTAGTGTTGCTGTCCCTCCTCATGAGCTCGCTGCCTCCTGGTTCTGGTTCGGCCCACACTCTCCGCAGACCTGCTTTGTGCGGCGGAATGAAACTGTGTGCACTGACGTCTGTGACCTTTGACCTCGCCCAGTTTGACCCAGAGTTTAAACAAAGTTCCCTCACACCGTAACTGTACTCGGTACGCCTCCCTCCCGCCACCCAGCTCACCTGCTCGGACACGGCCCGGAACAGGCTGGACGCATCGCGTGCCACCATCTTCCGGTACAGGCCGAGGCTGCACAGGTACTCGTCCATGTTCACGAAGTACTTCTTCAGGCCTTTCTGCATCGCGCCGCCACTCCGTCACCTGCACACGGACTGAACGCGAGCCCGCGAGCTCAGGTGGGATTAATCAGGTCTGATGGGCGCGCGGAGCCTCGCGGTGCTGCTGAGGCCTTCGCGGACCGGCCCGGGCTCGGAAATACCAGCGCTGCTTTTTGTTTAACGTCATGTTTGTGTTATTATGTGACTGGTTGCTGATGTTTTACTTGTGTTTATAACACGGAGCGACGTGTCAGTGAGATTCACGCGGGGACAGCAGCTTCCAGGCCGAGGACAAGAGGCGTAAACAATGAAACAGCAGAAACGCGCTGCTGCGTGACTTTAAAGACAGCTCTACTCTCAATCTGCAGTACAAGTTCTTAGTTACTCTCCGACGGGGACCCGTGACGTCACCTTTCTCTCTGGTTCCGTGATCAGCTGATGTTCTGCAGGAGAACCTGCGCTCAGCTGTGTATGACGTCACGCTGCGGTTCCACCGTGACACCAGCAGGTGGCGGCGCAGCTCTGACGGTTTTACACCCTCACGAGAAGAAGAAACGGCTGGCTGTGCGCATGCGTGTCTTGGCAGCTTGCAGTCCTTGCGGTACCGGTTCGGCTCGGCTCGCTGTGATCTGGATGATGAGGCTGCTCCTGCGGAGGCTCCGGCCGCTCAGCGGGACGCCGGGCTTCCTCTCCGCCGCCTCAGAGCGCTCCTTCAGCGGCTCACCGCCGCCGCTGCCCGCCGCCCGGGTCCGGAGCGCCTTCGTGGAGTTTTTCCGGGACAAACACGGACACCTGCCGGTCCCGTCCTCCCCGGTCCGGCCCAGAGGAGACCCGAGCCTGCTGTTCGTCAACGCCGGCATGAACCAGGTCAGTACAGACCCGACCCGGTCCGGGGGTACCGGGAGATTTCAAAATAAGAGCCTGTCAGAGGCTGACTGCGGATCGATTAGACTTTATTGATGTTTCGTTTTATTGAATATTTTAGTCCAGATTAACAACAGTTGTCACACCTGTGCAGGTAAACACAGATGGCGGGGGAGGAAGTGGTCTGCGTATATGTCCTTCTGTGTGTATGTTTTATTGTGTGTGCGCGCGTGTGAGAAGCACTTTTTTTTAAAAAAACCTTGTGATTTAACCAATCAGAGCCTTCTCTCCATCTTTGTGTGGCGCTCACAGTTCAAGCCCATCTTCCTGGGCACAGCGGACCCTCGTAGCAACATGGCGTCGTACCGCCGCGTGGTCAACAGCCAAAAATGCGTCCGAGCCGGCGGCAAACACAACGACCTGGATGACGTGGGCCGGGACGGCTACCACCACACCTTCTTTGAGATGCTGGGAAACTGGTCGTTTGGAGACTATTTCAAGGTGGGTCCCCTTCCTGTTTTCTTTAAGGTGGGAGTTTACTTCCTGTTTAAAAGAGGCTCACTCTGCTCTGTGTGCACTCAGGAGGAAGCGTGTCAGATGGCATGGAGCCTCCTCACAGAGCATTACGGGATACCTGCTGACAGGCTGTATGTCTCTTATTTTGGCGGTGATGCAGCAGCAGGGTTGCCAGCGGATGAGGATACACGGAACATCTGGCTGGAGATCGGGTAGGTGCACATCTGTCTGCAGCTGGGGCCGCACTGCTACAGGTCAGCTGACCCTTGCTGTCCCTTCAGGGTCCCCACCCACCGTCTGCTGCCATTCGGACTCAAGGACAACTTTTGGGAGATGGGGGACACGGGGCCCTGTGGTCCCTGCACCGAGATCCACTACGACCACGTCGGTGGGCGAGAGGCGGCGGCGCTCGTCAACGCTGACAGCCCAGAGGTGGTGGAGATCTGGAACCTGGTCTTCATGCAGTACAACAGGTACTGTACATGACTCACCTTGACCTTTTAATCTGCCTGAGACCACTTTAGTCCACATGAGACTACCTTAGTCATAAGATAGTTTCAAAGTTTAAAAATCAAAATATCAAATATCAAACGAAGAACATGAGGAGTGGAAGAGAACAGGGATCAAAAATATTTATTATGCCTCACATAGAACTGGGGAAAAAAAGAGGAGTGGCCATTCTGATACCAAACAAGCTTTTGAGTTTACTGGAGAACATAAAGAGGGAAGATTTGTGTTGGTGAAAGGGAAAATGGAACAGCAAGACGTCACGCTGTGTAATATATATGCACCCCCTGGTAGTAGTACAGGGTTCTTTAAGGAGATATTCAGGCTTATTGCCGCAGAAAGTGTTGGAACATGTATATGTGCAGGAGATTTCAATTCTCCATCCAAAATGGGATACAACTAGCCGAGACCGGAGGGGAACTAAATTAGAGAAACAAGTATAAACAATGCTGAGTTGGGGCTTATAGATGTTTGGAGATATTTACACAAAAATGAACGCATTACATTTTATTCAGCGAGACGTGATATGTACTCGAGGATTGATTATTGTTTTACTTTTAGTAAAGATCTCCACAGAGTGAAGGATTGTTTAATAGGACAGAGATTTATCTGATCATTCGGGATTACTATGAGGATTGGGTTTAAAGCTAGCCCCAGAAATATGGCGTCATTTTTGTGCCACTATTCTGAGCGCACGTAAAAAAAGTTTGCAGGTGCAAGTGTTTCATTTTGAGGAGAAATTTATTTTGAGCGAAGAAAAGCTGAATTTGAGTGAACAAAATTCATTGCTGCGTGCAAAAACTGTATTTCAGTGTTTGCTATTATCCACACACACACACACACACACACACACACACACACACACACACACACACACACACAACAGCAGCCCCTCTCACTCAGTTTTTGCATTTGCGCTCGCTCGCATTGTGTCGCTCGCGCTCTCAACATTTCTGCCCGTGTGGGCTCAACTCTTTCTCTACACCGTTATATCTGTGCCACAAAACCAGCCAATCACAGACTTGGATGCAAAAAAATCTGATTGGCTGTTTTGGTCTCCAATCAGCTCGAAATGACGAAATGCAATATCCCAGAATGCATTTGGTCCAAAACTCAAAGGAAGCAGTGGCGGAGGGACACAGAGGGGCGGAGTTTGAAATGTTACTCTTTCTGGGTCACAAAATAAACTTTTAAGATATTTTCATGTGAGAATGTTTCTGTGTAAACTTCAAGTATCTGCTCGACTCATCAAGACATCACATATTTGCATAAGTGCTCTTACCCACCAGCTGACCGGGTGGTCACTCGGGTTAAACATAATATAAAAGGCTGAACTGACAAAAAATCACCGACTACACCACCAGGTGTTACAGGAAAAACCATAAAGCCTTTGAACTAAAACAAACGCTGTTGTGACGGTGATGTACACTGTGTTGTTGGTATATATGTATGATTTGTATCACCTTCATGTTTCCCTCTCACCACATATCCAAACCGACATCATGACCAGCAGCTAAAGCATGCCTTAGGGGTAAAATTATTGCAAAATGTGCAGTCCTAAAGAAGGTGAGAGCAAAAATTGGAGCAACTGCACACCGTTACAAGGTGCCCCCGTGTGTTGGAGCAGATGAGGCCGGTTAAACAGGAGATCCACAAAATTTTAAGTGAAGAAATTGAAAGAAAATTAAAATATAATAGACAACGGTGGTATGAGGCAGGACCCAAAGCTGCTAGGCTATTATCATGGAGACTCAGCCCAGTGGTCAGAGGGCCCGGTGGCGCCAGTGTCCGGCAGCCTCGCCTCTGTCAATGCGCTACAATGTAGCTGCCATCACCAGTGTGTGAATGTGTGTGTGACTGGATGTGTAAAGCGCTTTGGGCTATATAAATACAGGCCATTTACCATAAGATTCAGAATTTCTTATCCAGCTTAGATCTGCCATTTATAGGTAAGCAGCAGAATGAAAAACTCGTCAGAGAAATATCAGCAGAAGAGCTCAACATTGGGATCTCAAAACTCCAGACTTTTAAAGCCCAGGATGTGATGGATTCCCACCAGAGTGGTATAGGCAGATGAGGGAACCCTTAATCCCACTACTAAAGGCCTCTTTTAATTACACTCTGAGTGGGGGGGCGCTCCCACCATCGTGGTGGGAGGTGTATATCTCTGTCATACCAAAAGCAGGGAAGGATAAAACTGACCCCAGAGGTTATAGACCTATTAGCGTGTTAAATATAGACTATAAACTATTTGCCGCGATTTTGGCTAGGAGGTTGAGTACATTGATGCCCACGCTGATAGAGGAGGATCAAACAGGCTTCATTGGTAACAGACAAACACACGATAATATCAGAAGGGCCATTCATATTATTGGCCAGATACTTAAAGGGAAAACTGGAACAGTTCTCATTGGGCTTGATGCGGAAAAGGCATACGATACGGTCAGGTGGGAGTTTATGTTTCATGTGTTGAAGAGATTTGGGCTATGTGACGGGTTTATTCAGTGTATAAGAATGATTTATATGTCTCCAACAGCGAGGATCAAAGTTAATGGAAGCCTTTCAAGTCGGATAACACTACAACGTGGCTGCAGGCAGGGCTGCCCGTTGAGCCCGCTGCTCTTTAACCTTTTCATTGAGCCGTTGGCTCAATGCATCAGGGAAGACACTCGAGGGGGTTACAACGGGGATGGCGTGCTGGTAACACTAGGAAACCTGGAAGAGGGAATTCCTCTGCTATGGAAATACTGGAAGAATATGGCAGACTGTCTGGTTATAGACTAAACATTCAAAAAACTCACATCTTGACGTTCTTTTTTTAACCCCTCAAGACAATTGGTAGCAAGATATAGATTCGGATGGCATCAATCTCAAATGGAGTATTTGGGGATCCTGCTGACAAAAGACCTTGCATTGTTATATGAAGTTAATTATAATCGGGCGAACAAGAAGATGTATGAAGATCTGGAGAGGTGGGGTCTGCTCCCCCTCGATCTGGGCAGCAGAGTTAGCGATAAAGATAAATATCCTCCCAAAGCTGCTATATTTGTTTGCAGCACTTCCACTGGAGGTTCCAGCAAAACAATTTAGGGAGTGGGATATGCATTGCTCAAGATTCATATGGGGAAATAAAAGGCCGAGAGTGAGATATGCAACAATGCAGCTGCCTGGTGAGCGGGGGGGCATGGCTCTACCGTGCTTTGAGGATTACTATC